CTTTCTTTCCAGATTCATGCACATTCGAAATCGGTAAATCGTTGTTTTATCTTCTCAAATCAGATTTCGGTAAGTCAAATGATGTTTCGATTTCACGCATATTAACGGCATGCTCTTGATGAATATAATATGCACATTATCGGTGTAATATCTCCTACACCTCCAAGATTCAAGAAGTTTTGGGTATGGCCCTTCAGTTTCGGAAAATCCTAGAAGTTGTACTGATTCTGCTGTACTTTCTCCTGTTGCAATTGGAACAAGCCTCCAGGATTCAAGAAAATTTGGGAATGGCCCTTTAGTTTCAGAAAAGCAACGAAGTTGTATCAATTCTGCCGCAGTTTCTCCTGTTGGAACAATCCACCAGGTTTCGAGAAATGCTGGGAATGCCCCTTCTGTCTCGAAAATTCGCAGAGTAAGAGCTAATTCTGCGACAGTTTCTCCTATCGGAACAAGCCATCGAGATTCAAGAAATTTTGGGAATGCCCCTTTAGTTTCAGAAATTCGCAGAACAAGTAGTGATTCTGCTGCACTTTCTCCTGTTGGACCAAGCCTCCAGGGTACAAGAAGTGCTGAATTTTTTGGTGATTTCAATGATACAATAGCTTCTTGTGATATTTTTAATGGCCATTGGATGATAGAGGAAGATTTCAAGCCTCTTTACCAACCGGGCTCTTGCCCTTTCGTTGATGATGCTTTCAATTGTTTCAAGAATGGCCAACCGGATTCAGACTACTTCAAGCTCAGGTGGAAGCCCCATGATTGTGAAATTCCAAGGTTCTCTATGAACTCTGTCCATATATTGTAGTAAAACACATTCAGGCTTCTATTGCACAAGTTCTTGTTTGGTATACACTAAACAGTATTAAAATGTAGTGGATAGTATAATGAACAAGATTTTAGGTTAATACTGTTGCAATCCACTTACCAAACACGCCTCGTGTTTTGTTTCACATATTTATGATATTATAGAATCTCATATTTGTGTTCTTGAAACTAAGGAATTGTTTATTGAAATATAATTCTGTAATTTTCCTTCTGTTTTGTTCAAGTTTTGGTTGTTGTATTGAAATATGAAGGTTTGATGGGATTACAATGTTGAAGATGCTAAGAGGGAAAAGAATGGTGTTTGTGGGGGACTCAATCAACAGAAACATGTGGGAAGCATTAGTCTGTGCTTTGAGAGAATCATTAGATGATAAGAGCAAAGTATTTGAAGCATCAGGCCGGCGCGAGTTCAGGAGTCAAGGGTTCTACTCTTTCCAATTTAAGGTCATTAAAATGAGCAACTTCTTCTTAAGTTGTCTGAAATTCACTAAGGGCTCGTGTTTTTTGAAATTCAAACCCTTTCTGTATATGCTCAGGATTTCGAGTGCTCCATTGATTTCATCAGATCACCTTTCCTAGTTCAAGAATTGAAAGTCGCAGATAAGGCTGGTAAGAATAGAAAAACTTTGAGGCTTGACATGATGCAAGATTCTTGTAACGAGTACCGCGATGCTGATGCTATTATCTTCAACACGGGTCACTGGTGGACTCACCAGAAAACCTTTAAAGGGTATACTTATTCGTCGTTAAAGCCACTTTCAGAAATTATGAATGATTTCTGTAAAGCCAAACCTACAGCATTCAATCTCATACAATCTTCATGCTAATTTAAGAATTATGGGGTTTTTCGATTTTTTTTCAGGAATTACTTTTTCCAGGAAGGTGATCTTGTGTACGACAAACTAGAAGTGACAGAAGCGTATAAGAGGGCGCTGAGGACATGGGCTCAATGGGTCGATAGTAATATCAATATAAGTCGAACTAGTGTCTTCTTTCGTGGTTATTCAGCTTCCCATTTCAAGTAATATATATTCATCTACTACTAACTTTTGCATACTATAGGCGTTGTTTGCTACGTACTTCATAATTATTAAGATTTCAACTTCAGTGCTATTCAATCTACCATACAGAAACATGTTACAAGTGTTAAAAATCTATTCTGATTGAAATAGACCATGGATTTGAATGAGAAATCCTTATGCTTACTGCTTAATGTCAATATGTATCAATAATTGGCTTCCTAAAAATGAAAATAATCCATTCTATTCACTGTAACCCAGAAGGGAATGTTTTCAATAAAAAAATTTCACATACTTTATTACATTGCAGAGGTGGTCAATGGAATTCAGGAGGAAATTGTGATGGTGAGACACTACCAATAACGAACGATGCCTATCTTTTGCCATATCCATGGATGACTAAAGTTCAAGAATCTGTAATATCAGAAATGAAGAGTCCTGTTTTTTTATCTAAACATTACAAAAATGACAGATTACAGAAAAGATGGGCATCCCTCAATATTCCAGCAATCAGCTTCGCAGAGAAGGCCTGGAATGTTTCAAGATTGCAGCCACTGGTGCCTCCCCGGGGTACCAGACTCCTGGAACGAGCTTCTTTATGCGACTATGATCAAATCCCAGAAATTTTTTTAAGCAGTTAGTAGTTTTTTTTTGTAATGTACTGCTTGTACAAATTGTTGCATCCAGTTTGCCTATAATTTCACATCCTCTATAACTCGTGATTGATCAGTTCTTCTAAAAAAACTGCATTTTTCACAAATTATGGAACCGATTTACAACTAAGAAAGAAAAGATTAAGGGTAATTTGCGCAAAACGTCCCGACTTATGATGAGTTTTGTGGAAAACGTCCATACGTTTGATTTTTTGGTGCAGAACATCCCTACCCTTGCATTTTCTTGCGCAAAACGTCATTTTTCACCAATTTTTAACATAAAATGATCAATATACCCTTATATTTAAATAAAACAAAAGAAAAGAGAAGAAAAATAAAGAACAAATTGCCTAAACTTTTTAAAGAGTGCAAATAACCCACCAAACATCGCCTTCTTCCCAAAACTCACCCCCGTCCCACTGTCGCCTGCCGACCATTTTCAGCCATCTTCCGGCCACCAAAGAAAGCCAAAACTACACCCACCATTGTGAGTCCACCCACTGTTGTGACTCCACCAACCATTTTAAGTCCTCCAACCACTCCAATCAGCCATGGAACTCCCACTACCCCCAATCGACCCTGGAACTCCATCGATACCATCACCTCCATCTGGCGACGGCCATAGAACCCCAACACCTTCTTCTGGAGGAGGAAGCTATGGCGGCACGCCACCAGCTGGTAACTGCTAAGAACCCCCCAACTGGATGGCACCGCCATACTACTCCTATTACTATCACCAAAACTCTTATCCAGACAGCTCATTTTGTCTAGATTACTGTTTTCTTTACCATAACTATCAAAATTAGATTCAGGAATATCACCTTTATTGAATTTATGAACTGGGTTTTCAAGATCATTCACTTGTTGTTGCCGTTCAGTGAGTTTCTTCCTCATATAATTTTGGCAGTTTGTGGGTCTGCCAAAATGAGCTGAAACTAGGAATTTCTTTGAGCGGGGTAACCAGAGGATAAACTGAGGCATGAGGGTGTAAAGAAGGTCTTCTAGAGTTGGGTATGGTTACTCTTGATGGGTATTTCTTGTTTTTCCAAGTGGTGAAGGGGCAATTGTGGGATAAAAATGGAATTTTAGAGGAAAGTGGCCGGCAGGTGGCGATGGGACGGGGTGAGTTTTGGGATAAAGGTGAAGTTTGGTGGGTTATTTGCACTTTTTAAAAAGTTTGGGCTATTTGTTCTTTATTTTTTTTTTCTTTTCTTTTGTTTTATTTAAATATGAGGGTATATTGATCATTTTATGTTAAAAATTGTTGAAAAGAACGTTTTGCGCAAGAAAATGCAAAGGTAGGGATGTTCTGCACCAAACAATCAGACGTATGGACGTTTTCCACAAAACCTGTCATAGGTAGGGACGTTTTGCGCCAATTACCCAAAGATTAACTTGATGAAATCATGTAAGATGAACTTCCATTAGTGCACAAGTTAAACACCAAACTTTTGTATAGCCATAAACAATTCTTGACTCTAGTACATAAAACAAAACACATATGGGTCAAGCGGGGAAGAAAGTTGGCCTTCTCAGACACCAAAATTGAAATGCTATTAGAAACGTAATCGTAGATTCTTAGAAAATCTTGATTACTTTATTAGTCTAGACATGGTCTTCTTTCATGGACTGACCCACCTATGTTGTTGGACTTATAATAGTATTGAAATTTGGTTTAGAGAATGAAAATTTAGCTAAGTATACGACTTTAAAAAAATGACTTTGTGTCAACTTCGACCAAATATTCGGACTTGATCCGATAGTCAAATTATAAATATAAATAGAGTAATTTGTTTTACTCGTCGAGTAGATCGTCGTAGTATATTTGAAATCTCAAAATCAATTTCGGATGAATGAGAAATTGCGGTCCGAAATTGGATAGAAATAGAAAAAATTGGCCGGGATAAATGCCTAACTCCATAGCTTGCCTATCGTTCCAGCGATAGTCTAGCGACAGGCGAGCGAGAGAGGTTTTGTTGAATAGATATCACTGCTGCTCAAGTGAGATGCCAGCGATAGCAAGGGATGCTTCCCTTCGTGAATGTTGTTGAGTTTAGGGCGTGACACTCCACTCACAACCCCCCCCCACCCCCCCTCCTCTTTCTTTTATAAATATGACCCTTTGGACTTTCATTATGCATCCATATCATTTTGCATTGAGTATTACATCAAAAACTCTTACAAAATACTCTCCAAAAGTCATTACAAAAATATTTTCTTGTAGAGGGAAAATTTTGCCCTTTTAAAATTGATTAAAATGTGGTCAAAAGCAAATTTTTGGATCAACTGACGATATTTTGAATGGAAACCATCCAAAAAGGTCTCTCTTGCAATGTTTCAAAAGGTTAGGAGGGACGGTTGCAACAAATCAAAGATTTGGGAAAGTCTCCGGTGTTTTAAAGATTTGGAACTTTTGTTACAATGATCCCTAATTTAAATAGGCATATTTGTAGATGACAATGAAAAAGCACAAGCTTTTGGACGGCATAATCTTTATTACAGATTTAATTATTTAATTCATTTCAAAAGCTTCACAAATTGTTGATAAAATGACAACGATCGAATTGTGACAACGATGATGTATGGGAGGGGATCGAGGAAGCAATTTTATAAGTTCGTGGAGCATTAGGTGCACGATAACGTTACCAAAACTGATGGGGGCAGTGGTGGTTTCACAGGCTCGAACCCTTGATTCGAATTGTAGGACAAGTAGGTGGCAGATGAATACTCGTTCATCTCTCTCATCTTCACATGTGGACGTGAGAGAACCGTTTATATGGCAAGAAGTTAAAGATTAATGAAAATGAGGAATTTATACTTCGATGTACTTGACATGATTGGTGAATGGTTGAAATGTAGAAATTGCATTTTTTTTTTAAATGTTAAGAGTATGCATGTAATTGTAGAGAGAGAGAGAGAGAGAGAGAGAAGATACCCTTTAATGTTAAGAGTATGCATGTAATAGTGTTTTTATTTTTTAATCAAATTTTCATTGTCAATCATGAGTAATTAACTGATATAGTTTAGATGAAAAATATAATTGTAAATAAAAAAAATTATCTTTTTTATTTAAGCTTTTAAATGAAATAGCTTGAGGTAACGTGGGAGCATGTAAAACAAGTTCAAGCCTAGCCTAATCTAATTAGACAATTTTTACCTCACACATATGATGATAATATGAATTTAGCCTCTGTTTGGTAGAAATTTTTTGAAAAATGATTATTTAAAGGGTACGTGGTTAAAAAGTAAGAATAAATTAAGGTCAGGGGAGAGCATGCAAATAAACAAGTTCAAGCCTCACATAATCTAATTAGTCAATTTTTACCTCACATATATGATGATAACATGAATTTAGCCAGTGTTTTGGTTGATATTTTTTTATAATAGATTTTCAAAAAAATGATTATTTAAAGAATATACAGTTAAAAAGTAAGAAAATTTATGCATTCACGTGTAAAGCTATTTTATCGAAAAAATGTGATTGAAAAAAAAATTCGAAAAAAAAAAGAGTTTCAAACAATGAAAACCAAACACAGGCTTAGTCGACACTGATGATCATGTAAAAACTATAGTTATACATAAATATATCATGATTCATCACTCTAAAGTCATTTTTCTATGCAATGTCAAGTAGACTCTACGACTATAAATAAATTTCTCTCCATTCTATCAATTAGCGCTTAAAATGAACCCCGTAAATGAACTTTTTTGCCAGACAGGGCCCTAAAGAAATTCAGATATTCCTCCATGGACCTTTCTGGAATTAGCAAATGAATCATAATTCTTTATTCTTTAGGTCCGAAAGTTAATAAAGAAGGTCAATTATTTAGTCTTAATATGAATGGTCAGTATGCATTAGTCTAAAAAGTAGTTGTAAGAAACCAATCGATCATATGCAAAATTGGAATTAAGACGATATAATTATATATATTTTCTTTTTGGCTACACCATTTAAAAATTAGAGACATACAATACAAGCATATTACTTTAAAAGAAAATGGTCATCTTATACGAAGTTTATCCATCTCTCCAAGAGCCAATATGTTTGGAATTTCCACAATGTTACACATTGCTTAGGATGGACAATCTTAAGAAATTGAAGAACTACACCAGCAGCACATGAAATTAAAATCAGCAACACAGATCAATATGAACTAGCAGAAATAAAATGAAAAGAATGAAACCAGCAGAGTAATGGAAGGGGCAGAACAACAGAAACTAAATGATAGCTTCAACATGTAAAACACATTGAAGGAACATAATGAAGAAGGAGATTTATTATTCATCAAATGCTCAATTGTAAAGGTGATTACATAGCTCTATTTA